AATATATATGAAACATAGTTGTCATTCTCAGACAGATTTCCCAGTAACACTTTGACAGCTTCACAAATTAAGAACAGAGATGAACAAAATCAACCAAGAACTCATTTCCCAAAGCTGAAAAAAATCCCAAAATCCCTAATCAAAGATGGATCAAATACTCCTTTTCTGCAACACTTGGAACATTCTTGGTTCCTTTTTTTTTTTACTGTTTTTTCTAAATAAAATAGAGAACAGTCAAATACTAAAGTATTCTCGAATAGCCAAAAACATCAAGCATCAGGAAGACATCCAGAGACAAGGACCAAAGGATGAAAAAATGGGAAAAAAAAGATATGTGACTAAAAATCAAAGGCATGAAGAACAGAAGAAGACATCCAGAAACAAAAAATGAAAAAAAAAAAAAAAAAAAAAAAAAAAAAAAAAAAAAAAAAAAACCGATAAATATAAATCTAAAGTTCAAACAATCACATATTAAGTAGATCCATGTAAAAACTGTTCAGAGAAGAGGAGAATAAGTAGATTCATTCAAAAATCTTGTGAACTAACCGGAAAAGAGGTAGATCCAGTCAAAAAGGTCGCCGTTGCTTCGATACACCGAGGTTTCCGTTGCTTCGAATCAGGTGAACGATGGTTGAAAGGTGTTGGATTGAGAGACGAGAGATTAGGAGGCGAGAGATTGGGAGAGGCGAGAGATCACAGACCCACAGTCACAAAGGCGAGAGATTGGGAGAGGCAAAGAGGGTGAAGAGAAGAGGCTCACCGGCTGAGTTAGTGAGGGAGGCGCAACTTGAAATGTCGTAATGAAGAAATGAGGCTGAGACGCTGAGTTAGGGTTAGGTTAACATTAAAAAATAATGAATAAAGAAAAAAAAAAGAAAAAATAAAAACGATATATCATTATATTGTATATATATATAATATATTAATATATTACTTACTAATGGTTAACGGTTCGGTTTTCCTAACGGTTCGGATTGGCAACGGTTCGGTTCAGATCGGATTTCTCATGGTCCAATCCGTTAACCGAACCGCGGACACCGGATTGCAGATTTTTCAAACCATCACCGAACCATGAGATCTAAAAACCGAATCGAACCACACGGATCAGATTGGTTCGGACCGGATTAACGGATTGACGGATTATTTGCTCACCCCTACTCCATACTACTATAGTATCAAAAAATGACCAGCATGCCCTTTGACTTTTAAACAACCACTTCTAAAATGGCCCATTAACCTTACTAACTAATGCCAAAATTATACGACCCCCACACTACAACCACCGCCACCACAACAACTGCCACAACCACTGCCGCCACAACACCCACCACAGCCACCGTCACCACAACACCTACCACAACCACCCCTGCCATCACAGCATATGCCCAAATTATATACATATATATAATACAACATATATATACACTATAATATGCACCAAATTCAACATCCTCAAAACATACATACATACATACATACATGCATACATACACATATACATATATATATGCACCAAATTCAGTTTAACATTTCTCTACGTTGGGTTATTGAACTTATTGTCGGACTACGAGAAGCTAAAATGTCAAATAATCTCTGTTGCAGTAATGCTTGCTTATCTTAAACTGAAATTTGGGATTTAGGGCCCGACATGGTGACGTTGGTGGCGGGGATCTAAGACTTGGGGAGGTAATCGGCCTTGCTCACCAACATCTCGAACAAAAGCATCTACCTCTCCTTCCTCAAAGTTATCGAGAGATCCTAGAACGCCATCATTTCCGGTGACTGGGTTGAGTGAATCAGTCCTGGTGGTGGCTCATCCAATGACAACAGCTTCTTTTCTTTGATGACAGTGGCGATCGAGACGTCCTTAACGCATTGATGCTTTGAATCGAATAACGAATCGGCGATTCCCTAAGACGGCTCACCATTAGGGATGTCAACTAGCGAATCACTCACTATTGCCGCCACCACCTAACCACCACATCTTTATAGTTTTCGACGTCGACAGCAACTAGGGTTATATATGTGTATGTTGTAGGCGTCGCAGGGAGAGAGGATAAAGGCTCATCACCATCGTCGTCGCTGCTCTTCCTCTAGTTGATGTCGAGCTACGAGAGAGATAAGATGCATGAGAGTAAAGCTTTGGTCTTGTGGTGTTTGTGTTGGTGTTGGTGTTAAGAGGGATACCAGATATATGGCAGTTTATAAGTGTATTATTGGTTTAGGTAATGATGGGGGTATTATCGTAAATTAATATTATTCATATTTTTTTAATATAATTAAATTAAATAATAAGGGGCAAATATGGCATTTGAAACCTCAGGGGTATAAATGTAAACAAGTGCATTGACCATCCGCTGAGTGGCATTGATCCAAACCTCATGGAGTGTCAGTATAATTTACCTGAGAAATTATTAGGTAATAGACCACCACCTCATCTATGGTCCTAGACAATCCTAACCATCCATCTAAGAAAAATAAGACCACATCAGCAAAACCTTTACACATCAGCTTTCCATCTCTCTCTCCTCCCAACTCTCTCTTTGCACTCTCGCATCCCCGACGTTCCTTCTTGTCATCAAAGAAGATAAGATGTCTTTACCGACCACCACTGCTGATCTTCACTGGCATTTTTCACGTCAACACTGGCCGCAGTCGCAGACGATGGCAACTTTGCCGACAAAGTAGTTGTTATTGTGACCATTGTTTCATCCTTCGTTTTTGCTTCTATAGAGAAACTCCTTCAGGAAGATCCACCGCTTTAAGCTACGACCTGCCGAGGAGGACCTCGAACATAGCACCGACGACAACAGCGCCGCTCTCAATCTGATCCTCCTCAATCACCGCCACGACTGCCTCTTCACGTACATGTTCCACCGCTGGGTCCTAAACATTGTTGATGCCATCTGCATGTCACGAGTCATCTTCAACAGCAATTACTGTCTCACTTGCGTTTGCAAAGATGTAATCGGTGAAGGCGAAGGTCGGAATGTCGGGTTGTTGGTGGCAACATTGAACGCCCAAATTGATCCGTACGTGGACACAATCCCGTTGGAGGCGGGCTAGATGGTGGCGACTAACTACGCATTGATGCCCATTAGCGGATTGGGCAACATTGCCCATTTAAGCTGTGACTCACATACTCACTGGGAGAAATGGATACTTTACCGACTAGGTCACTGTCCCTTATCCTCTCTTATCCTCTTTTCTTTTATTTCTAATATTTTTACCTCTCCTTTTTCTCTCTATGCTCATCCAAACACATTGTTCATTATTTAATTAATGCCATTTTACTGGTGAAGACATCCATTGAACTATTATTATTATTATTATTATTATTTTTTAATGGTATCAATTGAACTATTATTTGTTCAAACTGTTGGGGAAACAGAATTTTAAAAAACTTTTAGAGGGATTTTCAAAAATAGATATTGATTCATGTGTAGAGACAAGTTTTATACAGGAAGAAGATGATGATTCATTCAATTAGAGATAGAAAAGTTACATCAAGGTTTGAGTAAACCTTAAGGGCTAGTTTGGTGTAGTTGAATGAAATAAAGTGGGAATGAAATGAATCAGAGAATGGAATGGGAATGGAATGAGAATTGAATGACCATTCTCATTCCCATGTTTGGTTGCATAGAAAAATATCCTATTTTTGTAAAACATATATATATATATAGCCGACATTTCATTAAATACTTTTTTTTATTCATTTATTTATTATTATTATTTTTAAAGTGGGAATGGAATGGTCATTCCTTTAGTTGGAAAGTGTAATGAATTAGTGGGAATCATCATTCTCGGAGAATGGGCAAGAATCATCATTCCAACTTTAAAGTAAGTTACCAAACTAAAGAATGGAAACAAAAGGATTCCATTCCCACTTCATTTGATTCCATTCACTCACACCAAACATGGCCTAAATCTCTCCTCTAAAGTGAATGTTCTCACTTATTGTAGATCTTTTAGCTATATACATCTTCCTTAGTCCACCATCTTCTTAGTAGTGATCTTACCTGTAGAAATCACCCATAAATCTCCATGAATGATCTTGGAGAGCTACGCTTGTGGGAGTCTCCATTAGATGAGAACACTAATCCTAAAATTTTAGAGAGAAAAATATTTTTCTTCTCTTCCATAATTAATGCACAAAGGTGTAACCTAAAATATATATGGTACCCATGTATATACAGGCAAAATAAAAATTAAAGACAAGATATTTTTTCTCAATCTTTAAAATTCACGTGATATTTCAAATCTAATGGACCTCTAATACCAAGTTGGGCTATGAGTGAGAATCCTTTGGGTTTATTATTTTCTTAGTTACTATGAATTAATAATTAGCTCAATCCATTATAGCATGGACCCAATTTAATTCATTCATAAATCAATTTTTAGTCCACTAAAAGAAATTAATTAAACTCCAATTAAATAATAAATAACATCTAAGTCAATGTTGCATTTTAACTCCTCTATGCATAATTAGTTATCGGATAAATAAAGCCATCAATCCGACTACTAAATTAATATATTTATTTTAGTATCTTTGATTATTTCCGGCTTGATCACAATAAAAAAATTATTTGACAAAAATTATAATTTAAATAAATAAATATATAGAAAATCATTTTATCTAAAACACACGAAGGGCTTCGAATTTACTTTGTAATTAACCATAATCAATACAAAATAAATACAAGTAATAATAATGCAAATATTATAAATATAACCCTCTAACTATTAAAGTAATTACAAATTAATAAAAAAATCCATATTTTTCTCATACTTAATAGTCAAATGTCATGACAGTGATAGGGAGTAATCGCAATATATCTCAACCTAACGCGAATCTGGTTTAAGTCTTAGTTAATTAAGAATCCATCCATAATTACCGACTATGAACTATTTATGTTCATATATTGATTGACATTACATATATATAAACATCTTTTGTAATCAAATGGATACTATCAATTCTATAATGAATCGAAACATAATACATTAAATTCACCAATTGTATAAAATATAAATATTTCAAATATGTTAGGAACATATGTCACTTTAATTCAAATAAAAATTCATTATGCCAGGCATACAAATCCCAACACAAACAATAATGCATTGTAACAAAAGGTTTACATATTATTATTGTGATCAAATAATATATCTAGCTGTATCATATGATATTAGAAAAATTGACATGTCCATGAAATCAAATTCCAAAATTAATTGAAAATTAGAGGGATGAAATAAATGCAATTGCTAAGCCAACAAGAAAGGACAAGTGAGAGACTGCAATGCTTGAAGCTCCATTGACATTTCCTAATGCAGGGATGGCTGCTCCTTCCGGAGGAGAACCACCTGTAATCATTATTGAATTTAATCAAAATAATAATAATAATAATAATAATATATTTTTTAGTCAATGTTATGAGTTCAAAATAGTCACTCCTTTAATTAATGGGCACCTAACTAATTTCGAATCATGGTGGTAGTAGGTCATAAATTTATTATCTTTCTGTTGTGACTTGTCAGTATTATTAAATATTGAGACTGCACATCTAATCTAACCATTTAAATAAGGATTATATTATTATTCAAAAAAATTTATCTAAATTTATTTACGACTAGATCAAACAGGTTATCAATCTAATTTTGACATTCTTTTCTTTTGACTTCATTCGATCAAATTAAATTATCATCTTTGTCCATTTTGTATATATTACTCTTATGATTTTTGGAGCTGATTTTTATTTTTTATTTTTAAATTTATGTTGGTCTCAAATTTATTTTCTCCAAAGAGAAGGTCAGGTATTCAAGTCTCAGTAGAAGTACGTGTTTGTTTATAAGTTTGCTTTACCAATTAAAAAAAAAACAAGTGTTGAATGGAATAAAAAGGTGGGAAAAAGGGGTTTGTAATCTGTTTTCTCAAGGTTTAGTGGAGTGTGCAAAATGTAATTTGTGCGGAGGGAGAGGAGACTATATCTCATCTTTTTTGTTTCTGTCCTGTTGTAAAGGTTGTATGGAAAGCTAGTCCTCTACGTTTTGATTTTGGTGATGAAACTCAAGTTTCTTGAAAGCAAGTGTGGATCAGCTTGAGTTGTCTTTGGAAAATTATGCTGATTTGTTAAGTTTGGAGGCTTTTATTTGTTGACAATTATGGAAGGCCAAAAATTCTTGGTGTTTTAATGGGGTTAGATGGGAACCTTCTAAAATTCTCGATAAAATTATGTTTAATTTTATGAGTTTCAAGGTTTTTCTTTTCAAGATAAAAAGCTATGGAGTTGCCAATTTCAAATCTGGCTGACCCTTCTAATCCGGTTCAAAAGTGGATTGCTCCAGACAGTGGAATGTTGAAGTTAAATTTTGATGCATCCTTTATGTCAGGAAAACCTTCTGTAGTGGGGGTTTTGTGTTGCGAGACTCTCATGGAAGAGTTGTAAAGATTGCTACCACTGTGATTCAGCATGTGGGGAATGCAGAGATGGCTGAGGCGGTGATGTTTTGGGAAGGTTTAAACTTCCTGTTACAATGGGGTTATGCTGAAGATGTTATTATTGAAGGTGATTGCAAAGGGGTTGTTGCTTTGACTCCAGTTAATTGTCTTGTTGCGATGGTTTGTGATGACATTAAACATCTTCTTAAGTTTAATCCTAAGTGGGTTTTGAGTTGGTGTCCAAGATCCTGTAATAAATAAGGTTGCTTAGTGTTTAGGTAGATTTGCATTTCAAAATCAGAGTGGGGAAGTTGATTGGGATGTCTATCCCCCATGGCTTCTTACTTCTCTGAATGATGATTGTAATGTTTCTGCTCTTTAATGTAGTTTGTTTTATTCTGAAAAAATAAAAAATAAAAAATAAATAAAAAAAGTTTGAAGGAGAGAAATTAATTTACCTGGTGATATAGTGGGCCCTTCACTTGATGTTGGAGCCCCAACTGGGTATCCAGCAACTGCAAAATATAATTAACAAAATTAAGTATCATGATTTTAAGTGGTAAAATGCCCTGCAAATTTTGATTTGGAAGTTACATAATATTACAATTTGGCATAATTGCACTAAATACGTATTTTTTCCTCTGTTTTTTTTCAGAAAATTAAGCAAACTTACACTCGTGAAGATTCGAACTGATATATTTTTTTTAGAGAGTAGTTTGTACCATACTATTACCCATTTAGTCTAACTAAATACATACCCTTTAGAACTATAAATAAAGTTGTACCTTACCCCCTGCCCTTAGCAGTCTGCTAAACGAGAATGTAACATGACTTTATGTCTCATTTTGAATTATTATTATTATTATTATTTTCAGTAGTGATATATTTCTCTTAAAAATGAACAATTAAGTTATTTTACCTTTTTATGGAAAACTAACAATGAGGAGTAAGGTAGGTGTGCGTGTGCGTGTGTGTTAGGATAAAGTGTAAAAATACTCATGTTATATGCTAAATGTTCAAGGAACACTCTGCTTTTTAAAAAGCATATATAAATTTCTGTATTTTAAAATTTTATAGTAAACTTACCCTTGTCAACAATTTTGGCCAATTTTTTATTGTTATTTTTATTTTTATAGAATTTCCAAAATATCCTTTTGGTTATTTCAGCCTTTAATTGTTTATAAAAGTCCAATTTTTTTTTTAAATACACGTTTAAAATTTTGTACATTTTGCATATAGCAAGAGTTTTTCTTTTTTAACACTTTATTCTTTTAATTATTCTTATTCTTATTCTTATTCTTATTCTTATTATTTTCTTTTCTTTTGTTGATGTAGTGCACGTAATCTAATTCAACATTCTATACAATCATTATAATATTGAGGGAGTCAATGATGATTTATGACCAACTACCAAATGGAATTAATCACCAAATATTGAGGGAAGGAACTTGTGATAATCTTTATGCCACCACGTGTCTTTTGTTAATGATTTATAGTGGAGTTTATAATAGAAATCATAACATATTAATTCCATATGTTCTTTCTTTTTAATTTCAATTTCAAGTATAAAATTTGTATGATCAAATGCAACATGTAAAAAACTTATACAAAAACTTATGTCATAACTAAAAGGGGCAACTGTAAAAAGAAAATATGTCAAAGTATGTTTATAGTATATATAACACCCTTCACATGTAAAAAAAACACATTTAAAGTTTTAATTTGGTACAAATATATTTACTAATCATTGAATTGAGACTTATATATATATATTTTATTAAGGACTTTTGTTTTGACAAATAGGTAGGGGTTACAATGGGGTTATGCTGAAGATGTTATTATTGAAGGTGATTGCAAAGGGGTTGTTGCTTTGACTCCAGTTGATTGTCTTGTTGTGATGGTTTGTGATGACATTAAACATCTTCTTAAGTTTAATCCTAAGTGGGTTTTGAGTTGGTGTCCAAGATCCTGTAATAAATAAGGTTGCTTAGTGTTTAGGTAGATTTGCATTTCAAAATCAGAGTGGGGAAGTTGATTGGGATGTCTATCCCCCATGGCTTCTTACTTCTCTGAATGATGATTGTAATGTTTCTGCTCTTTAATGTAGTTTGTTTTATTCTGAAAAAATAAAAAATAAAAAATAAATAAAAAAAGTTTGAAGGAGAGAAATTAATTTACCTGGTGATATAGTGGGCCCTTCACTTGATGTTGGAGCCCCAACTGGGTATCCAGCAACTGCAAAATATAATTAACAAAATTAAGTATCATGATTTTAAGTGGTAAAATGCCCTGCAAATTTTGATTTGGAAGTTACATAATATTACAATTTGGCATAATTGCACTAAATACGTATTTTTTCCTCTGTTTTTTTTCAGAAAATTAAGCAAACTTACACTCGTGAAGATTCGAACTGATATATTTTTTTTAGAGAGTAGTTTGTACCATACTATTACCCATTTAGTCTAACTAAATACATACCCTTTAGAACTATAAATAAAGTTGTACCTTACCCCCTGCCCTTAGCAGTCTGCTAAACGAGAATGTAACATGACTTTATGTCTCATTTTGAATTATTATTATTATTATTATTTTCAGTAGTGATATATTTCTCTTAAAAATGAACAATTAAGTTATTTTACCTTTTTATGGAAAACTAACAATGAGGAGTAAGGTAGGTGTGCGTGTGCGTGTGTGTTAGGATAAAGTGTAAAAATACTCATGTTATATGCTAAATGTTCAAGGAACACTCTGCTTTTTAAAAAGCATATATAAATTTCTGTATTTTAAAATTTTATAGTAAACTTACCCTTGTCAACAATTTTGGCCAATTTTTTATTGTTATTTTTATTTTTATAGAATTTCCAAAATATCCTTTTGGTTATTTCAGCCTTTAATTGTTTATAAAAGTCCAATTTTTTTTTTAAATACACGTTTAAAATTTTGTACATTTTGCATATAGCAAGAGTTTTTCTTTTTTAACACTTTATTCTTTTAATTATTCTTATTCTTATTCTTATTCTTATTCTTATTATTTTCTTTTCTTTTGTTGATGTAGTGCACGTAATCTAATTCAACATTCTATACAATCATTATAATATTGAGGGAGTCAATGATGATTTATGACCAACTACCAAATGGAATTAATCACCAAATATTGAGGGAAGGAACTTGTGATAATCTTTATGCCACCACGTGTCTTTTGTTAATGATTTATAGTGGAGTTTATAATAGAAATCATAACATATTAATTCCATATGTTCTTTCTTTTTAATTTCAATTTCAAGTATAAAATTTGTATGATCAAATGCAACATGTAAAAAACTTATACAAAAACTTATGTCATAACTAAAAGGGTCAACTGTAAAAAGAAAATATGTCAAAGTATGTTTATAGTATATATAACACCCTTCACATGTAAAAAAAATACATTTAAAGTTTTAATTTGGTACAAATATATTTACTAATCATTGAATTGAGACTTATATATATATATTTTATTAAGGACTTTTGTTTTGACAAATAGGTAGGGGTAACGCTGAAGTTTTCTGAAGCAATTATTAAAAAGGTTATGTTCGAGTTTACCTCTTTAGTAAAGTACCTCTTAGATGAACTCGACACAATTATATAACCAGCAAAAATTAATCTTAATTAGGGATAACAATTCATGTTTATGAGTCATAATCGTGTCGTGTTGACCTAAGTGTATTTTACTAAATAACTCAATCCAAATACGACTCATTTAATATTCATATTATGAACCCTCAATGCTGACCCGAGCTATTTATTAAATGGGTTACACATGTAACCCGTTTTATTAGTGACGGAGCCAGGATTTCAAGTAAGGGAGGGCACACTGTCAAAAAAAAAAAAAAAATACGGAATACATACATATATATATATATATATAACAACGATAAAATTCAAGAACTTTAATAAGAAATAGTTAAAAAGTTTCAATTGAGGAAGAAAATTTTGACTTTTTCTACTGAAGAAAATTAAGGAATGTGAAAAGTAAAAGAGAAAATAAAGAAAAAATACGAATATAATTTTAAGAATTACAAATTTGAGGGGGGCACTATATAAATTTTTCATATATATGGAAATTTTTTTAAAAATTATAGGTTGCTGGCCGATTCGGGGGGGGGGGACGTGCCCCCCTAGGCTTTCATTGGCTCTGTCCCTGCGTTTAATGACCTATTTATTAAAATAAAAAAATTATATTATTTAAATTATTAATAATACTTAATCAAACAATAAATGCAAAAAAAAAAAAAAAAAGTTTCAATCCAACAAAATTACTAAATTGTCTTTAGTTTATAAGACACAAGTGTATTTAGTTATTTTGAAAACTAAATATAAATTTATTTGACACATATGGTTAAATGGGTTATACGAGTTGAATCATCTTAACCCAAATATAACATGATTAATTAAATATATTAATCGTGTCCAGATGTTTATAACCCGAACCCATTTAAAATTAATCCAATTCCATTTAACTCATATAATGTTGAAATCGTATTAAAGCGTATTAAACTTTCTCAACCTTAATGTTAACCATATGAAACTAAACTATAAAAAAATATTTGGTATGAAGTTTTTTTTATTAAAAAGTTAAAACAACTGACATATATAGGATGAAAAATCGAACGTAACTATTTGGCCACAAATACTAATGCCCTGCCAACTAAGCTATCACACCGCGCCTTATTTGGTGGGAAGTTACCACAGCCTTTAATGGGATGATGTTTAAATAGAAGGCACCGAAAACGAGTAAAGATGCCAGTTGTCTGTTTCGGTTTCGTACACGGTGCCGCTGTTAGCAAAAGTTATGCGCGCCATGTGACATCTAACGACTCCAGCTCATCATCTACTGTTACATTTATTCTTGTGTATGCAGATTCAATGTTCATCTCCCTCTCAAAACCCATCCACCTTATTAATTATATACTATAATTTTTCAAATTATTTCCATTAATATCCAATGACTCACCTACACAACTTATATGTCATTAATGTGATAGTTTCTTCCATTTACTTATTTGATTTCTTCACAATTTTTAATATCTCCTCTTTTTCTTTTTTTCTTTTTTTAATTGGTTTATGACTAATTGCATAAAAAAGGTGTACATAATATACATTTACCAGTACTCCTAAATTAATAATAATAAGATAAAAAAATTATACATTTATGCGTATATATTAAAGTACAAGAAAATATATATTCCTGTCCAATACATAGTCATATTTTTTTTAAAATTTATTCATTTTTCATATATCAACGCAAATTAAAACTTTAATTTTATGTATGTTCATTGATGAGAAAATTTTTATCATGGTTATATACTTTCTACATACAAATATGGGTGGGTATTTTTACCTAAAAAAATAATAAAAAAATATGGGTGGATATTGTATACTTTCTAGGTTTGAAGAGACATAGACTTGAATCTTTAACAATACTATTTGGATAAGTGTGGAGAATATAAGTGTCTTAATTTGAAAAATTTCGTCAGTTCCAAAAAAAATATATAAAATAAATTTTTAAAAAACATATATTATATATATATACATATATATATATATAGAAAATGAAAATGTAATATAGTATTTATAAGCAGTAAGATGAGTCGTGTGAAGAACCTGAGCACATGCTAATAGGGGGAGTGGAGACACCACAAACAGAGGGGAGCTTGAGGGCCTTGTTGAGATTGATTTGGACTCCAAGGCTGTCACTGTTACCCAGCAGTTGGCATAGACAAATGGGCTGGCTCTCCACCAATCCCGCCAGCTCCGGGCAACAACCCTTGTCGGGCTTAGTCAGGTTGCTTCCCGCCTCCACATATGTCAGGCAGTCCGACATGTTAACAAGGTAGTTCAGGCAATCCAACCCCGGTGCCGGTGCCATTGACATTGACGGTGGTGATGATAATGGCACTCCTTCTATCATTACAGGTACCGGAGCCCCCGCCGGAGACTGCGCTGTCCCTCCGGGAACAGCCATCGCAAAGAAGGCTGCATAGATGAGTGTAGCGGCGGCAATTATGGTGGTTGGGGTGGTACTGGTAGCCATACCTATCACTTCTATCTCTATCTTTCTCTCTCACTGTATTTATATTTTTATATGCAGGTGTGTTTGTTTGATACTTAGGTGTATATATAAATGGTTGTATGTGTGTGAAGGATTTTAATAAATATACAGTTGGGAGTTCCCGAGATTTGTAAAATAGTGGAGCCTTGAGTAAGTTTAGGCAGCTGTTATTTATGAAGTAGTGACCAGGACAACCAACATGCCTACCACATGACAGATACAGAGATGCACAGATATCATAAATTTATTTAATTTTTTTTTTTTTTATATATAAAATATGTATTGCACACATATGCAACAAATTTATTGTAATAAATAATATTATGGAAAAATTATATTATAAAAGTAAATTTTAGGAGGTTTACCTATAGATGTAATCAACGTCAACACTTTTTAAAGTCATGAATTTGAACCAACGAGGACATGCAACAACAGTATTTATTTGCCCAAACTATTATTAGTATCTACAGGTACCGTTTTTGCACATGTAAGTACCATTTTTGTATATAGATGTATCATTTTTGTGCAAACCAAGTAATTAAAATCATATTCACAAAAAATGGTACTTACAAGCATAAACGTGGTATATCTGTACAAGAGTGGTAATTACATAAAAGTGGTACCTCTGTGCACAAGAGTGATACGATTTGATAATAAGAATGGTATTTATATGCACAAAAATAGTATATGCACAAAAATAGTATCTCGTGTACAAAAGTAATACTTATATGTATGCACAAAAGTGATACTTGAAAATATTATGGGTAATTTTAGTAAATGAATAATATTTTTTTATATCCATATACGATTTTGGTCAAAGTCATTGATTTTGAAAAGTGTTGACCTACTCTATTTCTAGGTAAATAAGACCTCCAAAAATAATTCGTGCTTTTCTTTAAATTTTTTTTTTTTTTTAAGAACTTTTACCAAATACCAAAAATTAAAAATAAAGAAACTATTTTAACTGAAATAATTTATATAAAAACATTTTACGTCAAAAATTATAAAGCCTTGGACGATGGGTAAAGAACTTTGTTTTGGCAGGCCATATAAAAGAATGACGCGTCCCACCTAACTTTGTTTACAGTAATTAGCTTCCTCTTTCGGTTGAGGACTTGCGGTGCTAAAGGGATGCATTTTGTCCTTTCTTTCACACATGCCCAAAGAATTCGCACCCAATTGGCCAATCGTTACAATTCTAATTGGGCATGCATAGTTCCTTCCTTTTCCTTGACAACCGTAATTTGTCCTTGTTAGCCCAAATCAACATCAATTGCTTCACGTCTGCTTCCGCCTTATAGATGGAAGTGTGTAAAAACTAGGAATTAACTTGGGCGGGCCAAATCGGCCCAACTCGAACCTAGTTCAAAATTTTTAGAATTTAAATTTTTAAATTTATAAATTATGCTCAAATCGAGTTGGGTTTTCTTAAAACCCAGTCATATTCGGATTGACTTTCCAGATCATTGAAATCTGAAATAAAAAATAAAAAAATTCCAAATCCTTTGGTTTTTTGCACCTTCCAAATCATGGAAACCTGAAATAAAAAAATAAATTCAAATTTTCATTTATTTATTTATTTATTTTGGCACCTTCCAGATCATGGAAACCCGATTTTTGTTTTTTTTTTTTTTGTTTTTTAATAAATCCAAGTATATATTTTTTTGCACCTTCAAGATCATGGAAATCCAAAATAAATAAATTCAAAATCTTTTTTTTTTTTTCACCTTCCAAATCAAATGATATTACCAAACGGTTAGTATTATATAAGAAGTGTACATCATTTTTTGAAAATCCTTGACTCCATAGTTGCTCTCACTATAATAAATCCTAAAGAAACAATAGTTGGTCTTTGATATATATATGTGTGTGTGTGTGTGATTGCACGTATTGATGGAGATATGGAGAGAAAACCTTAATGGAGAGAGTAAAGAGAGAAACGGGTATCAAAGAATTGTCGGCAGCCTTATCAAGTACGTATTTGGAGGCGACATAGGAGGAAACAACCTGCAAGTTAACGACCCTTAGCGCTTTTCTCTCTCTTTCTTACCTAATGTTCAAAGTCTTTTGGTTTGTTCTCCAACGGCTTGTGTTAGGGTTTCCTCCCATATACATGTATCTTAATTGTTTTAGGGTTTTTGTTTAGAATAATTTGAAAATAAAAGTTTATTTAATAACAAACAAAAAGAAAAAGTTTTTTTTATTTTTATATTTAAAATAAAATAAGATAAATTTTATTTATTTGTATTAATGAAAATAAAATTATAGTTGGAAGCACACACAAAAATTAATAATTGAATATCAGATCCGAATAAAATAAAAGAGTAGTAATGAATTGAAAATTTAATTTTTTTCAAAAAAATTGATGTTTTCAAACAGAGATGTAATTTGCATTGTAATTGTTAAAACAATTGATCCAGAAATTGTGGGAGATAATCAGATCTTCTCAAGCACACTGATGTCAAACAAAATACAGATTTTGAGGCGTGTATTCACTTTCCTTAAAGTGTTATTTGCCCCTACTCAAATTGAGTTTGCTAACTGGTTTTGTAGCAAAACACTCCCAGGATACAACAAAGTCTGAATTCCTGCAGTTAGCAACACTGAAGGAATTCCCTAAACACTCATTGAAACTGTTATGACTAGATATAACACAAGAAAGAGAACAGAAAAAGTATATTCAGAATGTGCTGCACCATCTCTATTTATAAACTTCTAAAAGTTGCAAATCAAAAGTCACATATTTTCCAAATAGTTGTAACCTATTCAGGAGTTGGAAACCAAAAGTCATATATCTTTTGAATAGTTATAACCTATTCAGGAGGTGCAAATCAAAAGTCATATATCATCTTAATAGTTGCAACCTATTCAGAAGGTGTAAATCAAAAGTCACGTATCATCTGAATAGTTGTAACTTAAAACCAAAAGTCACGTATACAAATACAAATATATATATATGTATAACTTAAAACCAAAAGACACGTATACAAATATATATATATTTGTATACGTGACTTTTGGTTTTAAGTTATACATATATATATATTTGTATTTGTATACGTGACTTTTGGTTTTAAGTTATACATATATATATATATTTGTATTTGTATACGTGACTTTTGGTTTTATATATTACAATATATTTAACAATCCCCCACTATATTGTAATATATTGGTATCCAGTCGATGTGATATCATCACGCATACAAGAAGATATCTTTCGATTTAAACCTTCAATTAGTGTAAGTAATTCAAAATTTTAATGAAGAACAATGGTGACCTTAGCTTAAACCAAGTCTCCTTTTATTAAAACCAGAAATACCACACATATGATTTTATCCAGTTTCTATGAGATGTTTATATTTTCTTCAGCACTATTATGGCCATGTGCTCATCCTGGTTTCATGAACATTTACAAGAGTAAATCCTAATAACCCTTGCTAGAAGTGGCACCACTTCTTATGTTCATATAGGAGAAGTTCCAATATGTGTCCCTACTACTATAGATACTTCAAAATTTTAAATTTCTTTAAGAGTATATAACTCATCCTCAAAACATAGCAGTCTGCACTGAACATCCTAGAAGGGGTAGTTTATATATATATATGTTTCTAGTGCTAATACAATCACATACCAGTAACTTGCTATTACCCATTAAACTTTGGACTAGTGGTATTCTAGTACAAAGTCGGGTTACCATTACTGGTGAATTTTAAGAAAGGGTTTCAGCTCCATTCCACTAGACGTAATTTTTATCAAATCTCTCAAGAGTCCTTTAGTAAGAGGATCTGCTAAGTTATTACTTGACGTAAAATATATTATGTTAATAACTCCATCAATTATTAATTGTCTAACATACTCATGTCTCAAACTGATATGTCTAGACTTTCCAATATATATTTTATTATATGCTCTAGACATAGTTGTCTCACTATCGCAGTGCAAAGAAATAGATGGCATCGGTTGTGGCCACAACTCTATATCTAATAACAAATTTCTCAACCATTCTGCTTCTTTTCCGGCTGCCGCTAATGCAATAAACTCAGATTCCATTGTTGAATGTGTTATGCACGTCTGTTTCTTAGATGCCCAAGAAATGGCTCCTCCACCAATTGTAAATATCCATCCAGACGTGGACTTATTTTCACTCGCACTAATAATCCAACTAGCATTAGAGTATCCTTTTAGTACCACTGGAAAATCATAATAAAATAGTCCTTGGTCCACTGTTCCTTTAAAATATCCAAGGATTCTAGTAATTGCTTTCCAATGAACTGTACTAAGATTACTTGTGTACCTAGAAAGTTTGCACACCGTAAATGCTATATCTGACTTTGTGGAATGCATAGCATACATCATACTACCTATAACACTAGCATACTCAAGCTATGCAATTGCTATGCCAGAATTTTCAAGCATTTTAATACGTGAATCATAAGGGGTACTAGTTTCTTTAATTCCCAAATACTTATATTTAAGAAGTATCTTTTCAATATAATGAGATTGACACAATGCATACCCCTTTTAATGTTTCTTTACTTTAATTCCTAAGATAGTATCTACTTCATTAAGATCTTTCATTATAAAGTATGAAGTTAGATACTTCTTAGTTTTAGAAACACCTCTCATATTTGTTCCAACAATTAGCAAGTCATCAAACATAAAGACAAATAAAAACACCATAATCATTTGTGAATTTAGAATAAATGCATTTATTAGCATTATTATGCTTAAAATCAAATGATAATATCAAAGAATCAAATTTCTCATGCCATTGCTTTGGTGCTTGTTTTAAACTATATAATGACTTTATAAATTTGCAAACTTTCCTTTAATTTCCAGGTAGGACAAAACCTTATAGTTGTTCTATATATACTTCTACCTCAAGATCACCATTTAAAAATGTAGTTTTTATATCCATTTGATGCACATGTAAATGATAAATAGAAGCCAAAGCCATAAGAACTCTAATAAATGCAATTCTAGCCACGGGTGCATAAGTATCGAAATAATCAATACTGCTGGACCAAGAAGGGGGGGGGTGAATTGGTCAAATCTTTTTCAAATAAAATTGGTAGTTAAATTAAAACAAGTATAGAAAGCAATGCAACAGGTTTTACAAGGAAACCC